AGAGGGATTTTTGGTGAATTTGGTATTTTGATAATAGCCATTCACCAAAATAAAACCCACCATTATGAACCATTATGTACACATGTACATGCTCAATGGGACATGGACACAAATTAAAACACACCAAAATTTAGCAGTTCAACAAATCCCATGCACAACTTCAAATTACCAGAAGCATGCTAGTTTGGATAATTTTAATTGCATTAGGTAGCTATTTAAAAACTGATTTATGAAGCACAAAGTTTAGACACATCAAATGTCCATTATGTACATGTACATGTATTTACCAGTGAAAGTGTGAGGAGCAGTTAGGACATGTAACCACATCTTCACTAAACCTGAACAACAGATCCCTTGAATGACATACACCACATCCTGTACCATTAGCTGAACATTTCTACAGAAAAATATTACAAGATAACACGTTACTAGTCACATGTACATCATGCATGACTACAAATAGGAGGGGGCAAGGGGGAATTAGCAGTAGGCCCCAATTAAAGGGGCCCACAGTCTCAGGTTATTAGTAAACTCTTGGGGCTTGGGGGGCCTAATGCAAACTTTAAAATACAACTTTCAATATTGATGAGATACATAATAGTATTAGCACAGTAAAGAGTGCTGTATGGCTGATAACGGCACGAGGGGTGGAGTCGAGACAGACAATACAGCTACGAGTATAGCTTTGGATATTTTTGGAATTTTTTGAAATGGCTGTAACTTGAAAAATTGAAGCAGGAATCACCTCAAACTTTCTACACAGCATAAGAAAATTAATATGTATCAGAAAATGTAATAAAAATTTGGGGTGAATTTTTGGCCATTTTTTGCAAAAAAACCATAGCCTTGCATATTTTTCAGAATTTCAGCGTTTTCTTAAAATGGCCGTAACTTGAAAAATTGAAGTGGGAGTCACCTCAAACTTTCTACACAGCATAAAATTGTGGTGATTTTTTTGGCCATTTTTTGGAAAAAAAAGGTTATATAGCCTTGGGAGTTTTCAAAATTTTGGCGTTTTCCTAAAATGGCCGTAACTTGAATAATTGAAGTCCGAATCAGCTCAAACTTTCTACACAGCATAGGACATCAATGTGTACCAGTAAAGGTAATAAAAATTTCGAGTGATTATTTGGCCATTTTTTGGAAAAAACAATGGACTATAGCCTTGGGTATTTTTAAAGATTTTTGGCGTTTTCTTAAAATGGTTGTAACTTGAAAAATTGAAGTCAGAATTACCTCAAACTTTCTACACAGAATAAGGACATCAATATGTATTTTAAAATATAATAAAAATTTGGGGTGATTTTTTGGCCATCTTTTGGAAACAAGTGTAACAGTGTAAAAAATTCCTATAATTGTTTTCACCACCTTGCAAGTACAGCTGGGTTCTTATTACGACTTATGAAGGTTCTCTCTACCTTCTAATGCTTCCAGAAAAGACTTTAGACAGTATCTCTATGTTCTTTCGCTGTTAGAAAGCTCATAACTTTGTCCCATGAGCAAACCGCCATTTTTGTTTGCCGTGACCACACCCACTACATAGCGTGGCGGGTGATTGCTAAGGCTTGTTATTTCTCCAATACAATGTGTATAGAAGAAATGTAAGTGTGGACATACAAATAAATAAATTAATTAATTAATAAATATATATAGATAGCGCGACGGTGAAATCAATTATAGGACGACTTAGGGGCGTAGCTCTCAGGTTGTAAAAACCATGGACTATAGCCTTGGGTATTTTTCAGATTTTTGGCGTTTTCTTGATATGGCAGTAACTTGAAAAATTGAAGTCGGAATCACCTCAAACTTCCTACACAGCATAAGGACATTAATACATGTATGTATCAGTAAATGTAATAAAAATTTGGGGTGATTTTTTTGCCATTTTTTGGGAAAAACCATGCCTTGGGTATTATTCAGAATTTTGGCGTTTTCTTAAAATGGTCGTAACTTGAAAAATTGAAGTCCGAATCAGCTCAAACTTCCTACACAGCATAAGGACATTAATATGTACCAGTAAAGGTAATAAAAATTTGGAGTGATTATTTGGCCATTTTTTGGAAAAAACCATGGACTATAGCCTTGGGTATTTTCAGAATTTTGGTGTTTTCTTAAAATGGCCGTAGCTTGAAAAATTGAAGTTGAAATCACATCAAACTTTCTACTCAACATAAGGACATCAATATGTACCAGAACATCTTATAAAATTGGGGGCGATTTTTTGGCCATGTTTTGGAAAAAACTCTAGGCTATAGCCTAGGATATTTTTCAGAATTTAGGCGTTTTCTAAATATGGCTATAACTTGAAAAATTGAAGTCGGAATCACCTCAAACTTTCTACACAGCATAAGGACATCAATATGTACCAGAAAATGTAATAGAAATCTGGATTGATTTCGGAGCCAATTTGTGGGAAAAACCATAGGCTATAGCCTTGGGTATTTTTCAAAATTTTGGTGTTTTCTTAAAGTGGCCATAACTTGAAAAATTGAAGTCAGAATCACATCAAACTTTCTACAAAGCATAAAAACATCCATATGTATCAGATAGTGTAATAAAAATCTGGGCTGATTTCGGAGCCATTTTTTGGGAAAAACCATAGGCTATAGCCTTGGGTATTTTTCAAAATTTTGGTGTTTTCTTAAAGTGGCCATAACTTGAAAAATTGAAGTCAGAATCACATCAAACTTTCTACAAAGCATAAAAACATCCATATGTATCAGATAGTGTAATAAAAATCTGGGCTGATTTCGGAGCCATTTTTTGGACAAATTCCAACTTCAATTTTTTAAGCTACAGCCATTTTAAGAAAACGCCCAAATTCTGAAAAATACCCAAGGCTATCCTTGGGTATTTTTCAGAATTTTGGCATTTTCTTAAAATCCTTGGGTATTATTCAGAATTTTGGCGTTTTCTTAAAATGGCTGTAGCTTAAAAAATTGAAGTCGGAATCACCTCAAATTTTCGACACAGCATAAGGACATTAATATGTATCAGATAATGTATTTGGAGTGATTTTGGAGCCATTTTTTGGAACAAACCATGGATTGGGTATTTTTCAGATACGCAATATATTTCCCAGTATCTCCAGTAGTGCTGGATCAGACACAAAGAAGAACCGAGGAATTTGTAGATGTACATACAATGTACATGTAGTTAGAGTGTAGACTGACCTATAAATAATAAACCAACCATATAATCATTAATGTACATGTACATGTTCATAGTAAAGTTCTGTACATGTATAAGCATAAAATCATCAAAAAATTGACAAAGAAATAAAGCTGCCATACATTAATATACACATAGACCTACCATCTTCATCATAATTGCTCATGGTGTCATCAATCCTGTTAGAAAACTCTAGCAGAAGGTTCCAAGTGTCTTTGGGTATTGCCAGCTCTTTTATAATGAGACTGAGAGAGGGAGAGAGAGAGAGATGAAATGTAACCTTTAAATGTAATTACAAGTATTGTTTACTCTTAAAAATTCACACCACAAGTCCAACAATTTGAAGCGACCAGTAAAAATAAGATTCCAGTAGGCAATGGCCATCTCAAGATCTGTAGAGAAATAAAAAGCACAAAAATATTTTAATCAATTCATACAATATACATTAAATTATACATGTACATGTATTCTCAAATTTTAGTAGGATCACTTGCAAAAATCCCCCATCAACACGTGTACATTAAAATCATTGTGTGAAACATGATCCTACATGTACAAGTACATGTATAACATTATGTCACTAGCCTAGTCCTTTCTGCCCGAGTTTTTGGCAATATTAAACGTAAACTGGTAGAAGTCCTTGAACTGTTGTGAGTCCTGTATCTCTCAATCAATGGTCTCACACCTTTTATGGAGTTTATCAATGGAATCACACCTAAAAGAGGGAGAGGGGGGAGAGAAGGAGAAAGACAGAGACAAAGAGAAAGAATTATACATTTATTTGCAGAAAGAATGTGAATTATGTTTTTATGCTTAAAGCAAAACTCATGAAATACAGTGATAAGAACATGTACAACATAATAGGAGAATGTTCATGTGCAATGAATGTGTCCATCAATACACACACTGCATGTACTGTACCTTCCAAACGGAGAAGAGATCCTTCAAAAACCATCAACTGCTTCATCAAAGTAAGTATCACCTAAATACTAGTAATATGTACTAGCACAATGAGGATACAGTAACTGACCATTGGGATCAAACTCCCATATCTCTGAACTGACTTGCATGAATAGGAAGAATTGCAATGAGGCTGATCTAAACACAATCTACAGACATGTAAAATTGTAATTGTACATGTACACATGTACATGCAAATAATAATGTCAATGAATTATAATGTCATGCATCAAACAGGTCTACAAAAGTAACAGTGTGTATTGTACATATGTACATACACAGTAAAACAATCATAATTATTAATGAACCTCTCATCCCC